AGCTCCTATAATCCAACAAGCCTGTGATAATTTTGCCTGAGGCTAGTGATCTTTTTTGGCCATGCCCTTTGCCAGCACCTGCTGTCATGGCATTAAAAGATGGAGAGCAATAGACTCTGAAAGACAGAAGGGGGCCTGGAGCCTGATCACTTGGGTTCAAAATCCTCCCTCTGGCACTTCTCAACTGTGTGACATTAGGCAAGTTCCGTAATATCTCTGTGTTTTAGTGTCCTCTTCTGTATAATGTTGGCAATAATAGCACTTGTCTCATGGGTGGTTGTAGGATCAAATAAGTGAGCTTCTATTACATGCTTTTAGAAGGGCTTGACACACAGTGAATACCCCGATAATCATACTTATCATCAATACTAGAGGCCCAATGCATGAATTTGTGCATGGTTGGGGCCCCTCGGCCTGGCTAGCCATTGGGGGTGATTGGAGCCTGCTGGGCTTGGGGAGGGACTGTGGAGGTTGGCCAGCCACAGGAGGTTGGATGTAGGAGCACACAACCACCAGGGGGCAGCTCCTGCATTGAGAGTCTGCCCCCTGGTGGTCAGTGCACATCATAGCTTCCAGCCAGTCATCCAATAGTAATAGTTGCTTAGGCTTTTATATATATAGACTACAGGCCTGGTGCATGAAAATTCATGCACTGGAGGGTGTCCCTCAGCCCAGCCTGCCCCCTCTCACAATCTGGGAGCCCTCAGAGGCGGGAGGTGACGAGGTGATCAAGGGAAGGTGATGTCCCCATCACACCTCTGCTGCTGCCACAAGCCTTGGCTAGTCCTGGTTACTTGAGGGGACTGGAGACTCTGGAGGCAGGCGCACAGAGTGGCCTGGGAGTGGGCCTGGCTGTGTTGTGCACCTGCCACCGTGGCAGGGCTGAGGGGACTGCCATCTTGTGGCTGTGGGTGCCGCCATATTTGAGGGAGTGACAGTCAATTAGCATATTCCCTTCTTGTTGGCTGTGGGTATCACCGTCTTTGTGAGGGCATGATGGTCAATTAACATATGCCCTCTTTGTTAGATAGAATAGATTATTAACAGAAAAAGAATGGGTTCTGGGACAAGTCTTGTTTTCTCTCATATTTACAAATTATTTTCTATGTGACTTTGGACAGGTCATGTCATACCCCTGAGCCTCAGTTTCCCCATCAGTTAAAATGAGATCTCAAGGCCTACTCCAGAGAGGACCATTGTGAAGGTTGGATAGGATGAGAGTGAAGGACTTAGCCAGTGCCCAGTGCCTGGGATTCCCTTCCTAAGGGCTGAATTGATGCTTGTTGCCTTTCAGACAAGCATTCCCTGAAGATAGTCTTCATGCCTGCCCTATTTAGGGCTGTTATGCCAAGCCCCTCTGTGCCTGGCACATAATAGGTGCTCAATAACCAGTTCTTCACTAAAAGAATGAGTGAATCAACAGTGAGAGGGACCATGCCTTGCTCATCTTTATGTCCTCTCAAGGCTAGTGTAATACTTAGCATCTAATTTCAAGAAATGTTTGTGGACAGGATAAATAGATTTTTAAAATAGCTTTCATTTCTGTGCCCAATCCCACTTGATTTTCTAAATTAAACTGAGAAAGATACTTGTTAATTGACTCTCAATATGTCTAAGTCTTAGTATTCTTATCTGTAAAATGAGGCTATTAATAGCTTCATAAGATAGCCTTGAAAAGTAAATGAAGCAATATGTAATTGATATAGAAAAGGTTAGTTCACTATTATTCCCTATCAGGGCCTCAGTTTCCTCACCTGTGAAATGGGCATCCACTCATTCATTCATTCATTCATTACTCAACAAACACAGTACCCATATGCAAGACATTGTAGTTAAGGACTAGGGCAGTTAGAGAGGTGAACAAGCCATAGTCCCTGCCCAAGCAAACCCCAGTGTCTACATCAATGATGAGAGAAAAATCATTGAGCGGCTACCTCCTGCACGCCTCCTAATTGGAATAAACCCACAACCCAAGCATGTGCCCTGAATGGGAATCTAACTGTAATCTCCTGGTTCATAGTCGATGCGCAACCACTGAGCAACACCAGCTGGGCAGCAGCCTCATTTGATACCCCGGATCACCAGCATACCACAGACTGGTCCAGTGAGCATCCAGTTCAAACAGACATGTCCTCCTGAGACTCAGCCTTCCTCCCATTCTCCTGGGTCCTATCTTCTCAGGGGACTGAATAGTGATTTCCTTCCTCTTTCATCATGGAATGTGGGGTACTTTCAAGGAAAGCGGGGTTCCTCCCTGGTTCTCCAGAGAAAAACCTGCTGCTTCTGGAGTCAGACCCAGAGAGGAAATGCTTCGGCATTAGGAATCAGGAGCGGCCAGGCCAGGTTTCTGGGCTCCTGTATCCAACTGGATCACATCCTTGTCTCTGATGATGCCAGGGAACTGACTACTGCCAATCAAACTCGGCAAGGACTGAAACATCTGAGTTAGGATTTGTGGGGTTGGAAGAAACTGTTCAACCCCGTGGCCAAATTATTTGTACCTGTTACCCAGATCAGCCTTTATTCCCAACTGAAAGAGATTTACATGGCCAGGGTATTTAAATATCAGGGGAGCCTCTGCTGTCAATGGCCTGGCCAGAGGTACAAGGATGTCTGAGTCCCTATAGCCCATCCGTAGCGGGCCTCAGGGAAGAAGCGGGATTTAGGAGGTGAGAGTCTGCCTGGGCCAATTCTTCTGTCGGGAAAGGCCTCCCTGCAGTATTTTCTGTCTCGTCAACGCTGCATTTCATTTTAAATTGCAGCTGAAAGCAGATATTTTCCCTCTTGCCTATTACACCTCTTAATTTGTCTCTCCCTCTGCTGTTATTTGTCTCAATAAAGTGTTTTGCATGAAAGACCCACACAGCACAATGCTGCTGTGCCCTGGGTGAGATTTAACGGGAAGGAAAGACACAGAGAGACTTACGTCCCAGGAGGAAGGAGTGAGGGCCTTGAGGTGGAGACACGGGTCTGGGCAGTGAGCACATGAGCTTGGACCTAGCTGTTGTGCATCTGTGGGTATATGAATGCACATGCCAATAGTTGCACTAATATGTCTGTGTCTATGTATGCTTTGGTATAATCACTTGGTGTCCACACTTAAATTGTTATCACACGTGTATGTAATCCATGCATAGGAACATACAAATGCACATAAACACATGCAGGCATCTAGGTACCCATGCCACGAGTGTGTGTTCCTCGGTGCACACGACCAGGTCTCTTTCTTTCTTTTTTTTATTTTATTTTTTTAGTGTGGCCAGGTGGGATTTATTCCCAGAATGTAATGATATGACAACATGCAAAAATCAATCAATGTGATACACTACACTAACAGATTATCTCAAAGGCATTTAACAATATTTAATACCCTTTTAAGATAAAAACACTTCCAGGTCTCTTTCTTGCCCTTCTACCGCTGCGGTTAGCATCTCTCCCTGCCCCACCTTGGGGTCCCGGCCCGGTTTGGGGCTGAGGGAAAAGGAAGGCGGAACAGTGGTCTACAAAAGTCCAGCCTGCAAGAGTCCAGGCCTTAACCAGCCCAACAGCGGCCACAGCTCCCGGCGTGACCACCCCTTCCTCACAGTCGGCCACAGCAGCAGCACCACCGCGGCTTCTGCGGAAGCTCTGGGGTCCCTGGGCAAGTCCCCAGCACCCTGCCAACCTGGACTGACCCTGAGGGGTGAGAGAGGTTACCCAGGGCTGGCCAGAGCCCTCCAGACCAGCCAGACCTCCTGCCACCCAGGGACCAGCCACCAAGTGGCGGGGGCGAAGCGGGGAGGTCTCGGTCGCTTCCAGGCCAGCGGACGCTGGGCACTAACCAATGGGCGACTGGGGATCCCTCCGAGGCAGCCAATGCCCTCGCTCCGCTCGCCTTCCTCCCCCCCACCCCCCGTGCCCCCCGCCAACCCCGCGCCCCGGACTGTTGGTGTGGATGGGACGCGGGGAGTGTGCACGGCGCCGGCCGCTGGAGGGGCGGGGCGTGGCTTGGAGTCCGGACCCGCTCCCACCCGCGCCGCGGCCCCGCGCTCCCTCCACGACTGGCGGCTAGCGGCCTGGCTGCGGCGCTGCGGCCGAGCTGGCCCGTGGGCGCGCAGGGGGCGTGGCCGGGGGCGTGGCCGGGGCCGGGGCGGGGCGCTGTCTCTGTGGCTGCCGGGCTGCGGCGGCGGAGGCGGCGGGCGGCGGTGCGCTCGCGTGGGGCGCAGGCTCGGCGGCAGCGGCGGCTCAGCCTGCGGCGTGGCGGCTGGTCCGGAGCGGCCGCCGCGAGCACGCCGGCTGCAGCGGGGGAGGCGCCGCCGGGGCTGCGCGCTCCGCGGGGCCGGCGGGGACCGGGAACAGGTGATCCCCGCGCGAACCCGGCGCCCGCCCGAGTTGTCGGGGCCAGAACCCCCGCTCCCGGGCGCAGCTGCTGCGGACGGCGCCGGGCTCCGGACCCCGGACCCGGGCTCGGGCAGCCCCTGCCCGGCGGGCTCCGAAGTGTGGCTCCCGCGCCCGGCGCCGTCCGCGGAGGACAAAGTTGTGGCCCCCTGGCCGGGGGGTGCTCGGGGCGCCGCGGACACGCCGGCCTCGCCCCCGAGCCCGCGCTCTCCGGAAACGGCTTCTGAGGTGAAACTTTGGGCGGAGGGGCCCGGCGTGGCGGCGAGGCCTGCGGGCGCCTCTGCGTGGACAGCGGGCCCCGCGGACGGCATGTGACGGCGCCGGCTACGGCGCGGGAAGGCGCGGGCCCGGGGCTCCGGCCGCGGCGGGCGGGGAGGCTGCGGCGCGCGGCGGCCCTCGCGGGCCCGGGCCCTGGGCCGTGCCGCCCGGCTCGCCCGGGCCCCGCCGAGGCCGCTGCGCCCCCGCCCCGGCGCGGGAAGACTCGCCCCAAACTCCTTGAACTTCCGTCGGAGGCCGTCCCCTGCCGGAGACACCAGGGGCCCCCGCCTCGGCGGCGGCGCCCCTCGACGACCGCCCTCGGAGCCGCGGGGCCGGCGGGAGCTGCCCGTCGCCAGCCCCGGGCCGGGCCACGATGCTCATGAGGAAAGTGCCCGGCTTCGTGCCGGCCTCGCCGTGGGGGCTGCGGCTGCCGCAGAAGTTCCTCTTCCTCCTCTTCCTCTCGGGCCTCTTCACGCTGTGCTTCGGGGCGCTCTTCCTGCTGCCCAACTCCTCCCGCCTGAAGCGCTTCTTCCTGGCCCCCCGGACCCAGCGGCCGGGCCTGGAAGCGGTGCCCGAAGCCCCCGGGCATCCCCCGGCCGGGGCGCGGGAGCCGCCCCCCAACCCGGCCCCCGCCGCGCCGGCCCCGGGGCAGGAGGAGCCCAGCAGCCTGGCCGGGCCCCGCCGGAGGAAAGGGTGGGCGCGGCGGACCCAGCCCCCCAGGCCGCGGGAGGAGGCCACGGCGGCCCGCAGCGGCGGCAGCAGCAGCAGCGGCGGCAGCGGTGGCCGCGCCGAGGCCCCCCAGGAGGGGAGCCCCCCGTTCAGCTTTGACTTCCACGCCTTCCGGAGCCGCCTCCGCCACCCGGTCCTGGGGACCAGGACCCGCGGCAGCGAGGAGCCCCAAAGCCTGGTGCAAACCCGGCGGGAAAAGATCAAGGAGGTAAGGACTCCTCTCCCCAAAGAGAAAAGACCTGCTTGGGCTTCCATCCACTTCCCTGGGCCGGCTATCAAGACTGGTCCCTGGTCCACTCTAGACTCGCTTGGCACCCTCTGCACCCTCCTCTCCTCCCTCTCAAACTTCCCACCTCCATTCCCACCTGCTCACGTCCCCACCGTTGGGTTCCCTAATGGTCCCTACCCCTGGCAAGTGGCAGTGGAACCACTGGGCTTCCCCCACCCCCGGTCTCTGGTCCTTCCAGCCCAGGCCCCAGCCCAGGCCCCAGCCCAGGTGGGATCCACTCCGTCCTGTGGGGCTGCTAGTAGAGTTTTGTGCTGTTTCCAGTAAGGTTCTGGAATGGACATCCTATCTGCTTTAGGAGACCAGGGCCGTGTTCTTTCTCACTGGAAACCCTGACTTCCCCCAAAAGCCGCCTATACCTGGAAGCCCAGGGATTGGGGGGCATTTGGTACCCTGTAAATCTTTAGTAATCTGGCCAGTGACCTGCAAACCAGAGTGTGACTTGCATTCTGGCTGTCGAGCCTTGGAACAGTTGCACTTAATCGTATGTGATGCGGGAAGAAGTGATCAGTAAGATGGTAGTAACGTTACAGACGCTCCAGGATTATTGGCTTAACGAAGCGGTTCTTGGACTTGTTCCCTGTAGGGATTGTACTGGGGAGTGGTTTGGAAGAATCAACTTTGATCGGAATCTTAGTCTTAGTTTAAGAAGCCAAAAGTAAACGCAGCCTCACCGAGGCTTGAAGACCGTTGCCAGGCTGCCACTGGTACCTAAATAGTCTGCTCTACCACTGCTGGAGCTGCAGTGGAGGTTTTTGCCCAGCCATGCACAGGGGGCTGCGGTGACACCCCGGGCCACCAGGGGGCCTTGGGCAAGCAGTGGGCCTAGAAAGGAGAGGATGCTCTTTCCCGGCCTCCTCTTCCCTCCCCCACCCAGGAACCCAGAAGGAAAGGGCTACTTCTCTCTGGACTTCTTGGTTTGGGGCAAAGGAGTGAGCAGGTGTGCTGTGATTTCCAGGGGGAAGGCAGCCACGTCGGGACCTGCCTGCTGAGACCTACTCAGCCAGTGGAGAGCCTAGTTGTCCCCCTCTCCTTGTCCAGATTATCCTTCCCAGCACCCACCTTTCCCCCACTCCTTGGGTCTGCTGCTACTCAGCTCTTTTGCTCTAAGTCTTGTTTGGAGACTGTCTTAATAAGTATTTGCAGGACATTTTGTGACATCAAGATAGAAAGCCACAAAGATGAGTCCTTGGTGTGTGTGTGTGTGTGTATTCTCACCTTTCAATTTGTGGAAATCTCAAAGGTGTGTGAAAGGCTGGGACTTGCAGTAGTTAAGGAGGGGTTAAGAAACTTGTCGAATACTCACCTGGACCACACATAGCCCCCTTTCTCAAAGCTGCCTTTGAGTTTCTGCCCTTTTAGACCTCCTCAGGAGGGCACTAACCCCCAGGGAAATGATGTAAAGGGCAAGGATGCAGTTTTTCATCCAGAATGTCCAGAGCTGCCAGAGATTTTCAAAAGGATCCCCAGGTGTTTTCTGCATTTGTATCTGGATGTGTGATCTGTTTCTGAAAGCCTGGGGTTGGGGTCCTGGTGGCCTGGCTAGTGGGGACTTGGCTTGCTCCTCTGTACAAAGACAGCCTCTCTTGCCGGCAGAGGCTGTGGGCTGGACTTGCTGCAGCAGTGGGGGGTGGGGGTGGGAGGTGGGAGTGGGGACTATGCTTTGCAGGTGGGTGTAAAATAACATAGCGGGTGGAGGTCCGTATTGGGTACCACCTGCCTGGATCTTTCTATTGTGGCATCTCTGTGTGCCCAGCAGTAGTTGGAGGCCTACTTGCATTGCCTGAAGTTGATGTTCAATGAGCCCTCTCTTACTATCTTGAAGACCTTAAGCTCCTCAGAATGGAGCGGCCTGGACTGTATGATTGTGTTTTGAAGCCTATTGCCTCTTCAGACTTCCTGAGTTTGGACTCCCCTCCTCCCCCAGCCCCCACTCTTTCAAACAACCTGAATAATGTGCGGCTGAGTTTTTGGTTTAACTCTTAAGCCAGAGTGATCTTGTTCCCTGATGTCCTGCCTGACGGAATGCATACGACTATTGCCGGAGAATGTCTTTATTTCCTCCTCACTTAAGTTTCTACCTGTGCCATGCCCAGGGGTGGATCATTTCAGAAAGGTGTCTGTTTTCATAAAAGGTATTGTAGCTTTTCTCTCCAGCTTGTTTATTTCCAGACATGGATTGATTAGACCCCAGGAGCAGAGGGGGAGCTAGCATCAGATAAAAAGGGCTCTGTTCTTATAAGATTAGTTTTTTGATGTTTTTTTTTTAAGTGAAAGTAAACATCAAGAGAGAGTCAGAGAGGTTGATAAATGAGAGTAAATGAAGACTGGACACTGGGCTCTAGAGCAATGAACTATAAACATTCTGCTTTAAAAATTGGACATGGGCACAGGTCTGTGCTGATAAGTTGGGTTAGAGCTGCATGGTCTGGTACATGCATCAGGAAGCAATCTGTCTCACAACCCAACTATTTCTCCTCACTTTTCGATTTTGGAACCTTAGAGGAGGCAATGTGGTGTAAAGGGGAGACCCTGTGGGTTTGACAGTTTAGCTCAGCTGTCAGCTGTCCGACTCTGGGCAAGTCACTTCAGCTCCTTCCTGGTCCTTGTTTTTCCTTCTGTAAAGGGGGGTGAGGGAGAGGCTGACCACATACACTTTTGCTCCCAGACCCGGCCTCCAAGATAGACTACCAGTCTTCTCTCTCAGCAGATGGGCTCTCCCCAGCTCAGTGTTCAGCATGTCTTAGTCCCATGAAGTCAGGGACAGAAGGGTGTTGCTGTTGATGGTGCTGGTGTTTATGTTATATCCCTAACACCTAGTCGAGAGCAGACATTTATAGAGTTGATTAAGTTAATTATTCCTATGGCTCATAAATTTAAGTGTAGAGGTGAGATTGAACAGTGACAGATCCTCAGCTTGGGCTCATGAAGAGTAAAGGGCTGGCGAAAATGTAAAACGGCTTGCTAGCAGTCTTTCCTTTCAGATCTGATGATGATCTAGGAAATTATTGTTAAAATTAGTATAGAGACCTCAGCTATAGGTGGGATTCTGATGAATTTAAGTTCGACAGACTTTTCTCACTCATGACAAGAATTGAGGGTATATAGCTTGTCAGGGTTACTTCCCAATGAAGGGATTCGAACTCTCTTGGCCGCTATTAATGCCGATTGGTTGCTGAGCTGGGGAGCCTCAGTTGTCCCTTCCAGTGAAAGGGGCTTTTGTTGAAGGGAATTGAGCAGTCTGAGACATTGAGTGTCAGAGTGGGGCTGCCCTTAGCCCTATGAAGAATATGGGTTAAATTTCAGCCTCATTCCCATCCCCTCTACCCTTACCCCCCACTGTATGTGGCAGCCCCACTAAGAATCCAACCTGTGTCACACTACCAACCCCAACCCAAGAGGAAAATCCCTATTAATCACTGTGCCTCAGTTTTCATGGTAAAATGAACAGACTGGCATTGAGAGGATTCTTATCTCTCCATCACTCCCACCTGTTTACTGTTTTGTTTATGGATCTGCCCAAGCACCTAGAGTAGGGTATGGTACCTAGTTGGCTCAGACACTTGAATGAGTGGCTACAGAAAAAAATCTATAAACTAATAGTTAAGGTTACTGTGGCAGAGGCTGGCCCTTCTTCATAGGGCTCTTGATTCTGAGTCTCAGAGTAGGGGGCCACAGCCAGATTTGGGGGCTTCTAAAAGACTCAAGAGATATTACAGAAGTGCAGTAATTTTCCAAGTCCAAGTTTAACTCTTAAGGCAGTGCGGAGGGGGCAGCCATGAGTGAAATCTTTCATGCCTGGATAGCAGGCATCTTCGGGATGCCCGAGTCGCCCTGGAATGCCTGCAACTTGGCAGGGAGTGCCCGGGCTCTTGCCGTCGGTGCCTGCTGCGTTAAGCCTCCAGGATATTGCTGGTTATGATGTGTGGCCATGTCTGAGTAAGTCATCTTGGTAAATGATCTTTGCTCCCCATTAATGGGCTGGTTCGTTAGTCATGTGTGGTTTCTCTGTATGTCTGATTTATCACCACCAGTGTCAGGGACAGGTAGGAAAATTAAAGGGCTTTGTGTTCTTTGTAGCATGTGAATCTGAGCCTGTGAGATGTTAGGATAATTAATATTAGGAATGCCTCGGATTTACATAGCTTTCCTTTGAAGAGCTCTGTTTAAATTGCAAATCCATCTAATGTTTGATGGATCCCTCCCCTGTCCTTCAGTCTTACTCTTGTCCTGCTCTATGATACATTTAATATGATAGGAAGAGTGGCCTCTAGTAACTGGGAAGGTCCCTAGGGAGATCCTTGCATCCTAAGTTCATTCAGATTCTTCATCCTTCCTCCTCAGAGCGGAGTACTGCCAGGAAAGCTTAGAACTTGTCCCAGCCAGGTGTGCAACTTACCACCTGCAGGCTGGGTGGATCTCACTTTCATTTTGAGTTGCGCCATCACTTGGGGGAATTAGGAGCAGACATTCCAGGAGCAATTGCTGCTGGGGCCTCAGATCCCTAACTTTCTTTAGTGTTTGGTGTAGACACGACTAATACAATGACTTTTAAAAGCCAGCTGCTTATTTCACATTGTAGTTAGCAAGGGGGTAAGAATATAGGTTTCCATGCAGTTTTCAGAGTGACTGATTTACATCCAAACTCAAGAAATGCCTTTTCTCTAGCTTTCCCTGAAGACTGATCCATTACTCCACTGAAAATAAATATTGTGATAGATATCAGGCATACTTTGCTCAAAGGGACTTACATCTTTTCTCTTATTGAAAAGAATAAATCAGGCGTGCAGATTGGAAGGCCCTGTGTAGGGAAGCTGTTTGGTAATCTAGGTGGGCACCCAGCCTTGAGGTGCTGCCTCTGGCTAGGGGACGGTGCCTGCCTCTGCATCCTAAGCTGAGTCTGTGTTAAGGGAAGAGGTGGG